ATCTTCCAGAACGAGAAATTTCGATTTTTAAATATGAATATTCTCCTTTTGACAGCAAACAATAAATATTCTTTTGTCAAAAAAATATAAATTTTCCTTTGCGATACACATGTCTTATCATACTGGAAAGACTTCATGTCGTATGCCTGAATTCCAGCATTAAAATAGAAAAACGATATAACGGTGGAAATGCTGTTTTAAAAAACAGAGGACTGATCCATAGCATATTATTGCATATTTATATATATGAGAAGTTGCAATTATTTGCATTTAAAGACAGAATAATTTTTTCGATATTCTTTATATTTATAAAAGGGCTTTGATCTCGAATTTTGGCAACGATATAGCTGAAAAAAATGACTCTAGCCTAAATGTTAGCAAAACCTTTTCATAATTAAAAATAATTTCTAGGGTTTATTTCTAACATTTGATTGTAATCTATTATGTGTCAGAAAACAGTTCACGAATTGTAGTTTTAAATTGACATGCCACAAGATGTAGTTACTCGGGTTTAATTATTTCTCCTTGATTAATAACTTTGCAGTTTCGATCAATACACAAATCGCAAAATAATTCAAATAACATTCTCAATATCTCCATCACTGCCATAATTAAGAATATGATTGGCATTACCATTTTGTAATTTCAGTTAAAAGTCTTCCTTTGTTTACACTCATACGTACTTCTTTCCTTTAGAGTTTTACACACACTGTTTTGTTCATGTACTCTGATAAGCTTTAAATGTCGTGTATAATCTCAAACTAAGTTGTCATTAACTTGGAGGAAGTATTGCTAGACTGATTATTTGACAGTGATGAAGTAATTATTGTTAGTCAAAATGTTGACAAGGCATGCAAAATCGTCTTTGCTATACTAACCCTTTGAAGTTTTTTCTNCAATCAAAGAATATATATTGATATATAATTGCCACGCATTCAATACTTATTGACTGAGTTCATCCTGATGCCGTTTGGCATTTTGCGAGGATGTACAAATTAAGACGATTTTATTCGTGAATCAGGCGGTTTGCACATATCAACTGACACATATTTTTTACAATTCTACCACCGAAGCTCAAAGACAAATTCACGTATTAGATTTTAAAGTTGGCGCGCGTAAAGCACAATACCACAATAATTGCTAATGTTTAATGTGGAAAAGACTGTCAGATAATAAGTCTTATCATATATATAATCAAGTCGACTTTACCACAGGCAGGGTGTTTGAAAACCCTATAGAAAATTTAAGGTCATATCAAACACTAGATCAGGAAAAACTTATTCTGTGCGATTTATCTGTTTCCTTCTACAGCCCGACTGTTTTATAGCTAGTTCCGTGTGCCGAGTTCAAGGTTAAAGAAATTGCTACAGAGATTTCTGAGTCAGTCAGGCTTTACTAATGTAAGTGCCTCTTGACGTTAATGAATTGAGCCCTGTAAGATCAGAATTATCATTGCCTTTTTAGCTCAAAATTCATTGCAATCGCAAACGTTGACAAAGTTAATTCAGTCAGCTTTTATTGAATTATCTAAAAAAATATTATCGAATTCAAAATTTCTTTTATTTTATTTTATATTTTATCGTTGGTCGACTTACTGAAGGTCATTAAATAAGCATCATTATTAAAAGTCAAAATGGGATTTAAATTTAAACAATTAAATTAAGACGTGAAGTACCAATGCCAAAATATAACTAATATACTTGTTAATTCATATCACTTAACATTCATGCATGATGAAAACTATTGACTTGAAAGCTTTTGGTTGCCACTGTGTTTTAGAAATTGCAATTGGTATTTTAACAAAGTGAATTTAAAAATAACCGTGGTAGTACAAATACGCATTAACAATTTAGTGTTTTTGTGTGTTAATAGTAGCATACTAAAACCCAATTGGCATAAAAAAATAAAGAAATTTATTTATCGTGACATGTTTGACATTTTCGGTTTTATGCAGGAAATTGCAATAAAATCATTAATTTTGATAGCACTTAGACATATGGAATATGATCTTTTTTCAATAGAATTACATTTCTACTCATTTTATGTTGTAGCGTGGTAGTAATTAGATTAGTGATTAGATACTAATGCTATTAATTTTAAATTAACCTCATCTAAAATATTTTAATGTTTGTTTACACGAATCTGTTTTGAAAATAATTACTTTAATTCATCCGATATTTGATTTAACCGCATATTTAAATTTATTGTTGATCTGTGTTAAGCAGTCAATAAATCCAATGTTTTGTTTTTTTCATTTCTTTGAATCTTGCTTATTGATTCAAAAATAACTAATATAATTCAAAATTTGAAACTTCTAATGCTCTAACGTGACTTCACAATCAATCCAAAATGAACAATCGGATAAACATAAAAAACTGTTAGGATAACAGCGTGCCGTTTTTAAAAGTTTGAACACAGCAAGATGACTATCACATTCAAATATTAGGCTGAGTTTGAACATTATAATTTGTGCCTATATAGCTAAACTTGAAAACGGGAAACCGAGGTGCTAAATTAAATTCTCTCACGGATGTCATAAACTGGCAAGTTTGAATAAGCATTTCGTTGTTCTCATATCTATGTTATAATGTGAACAAGAACTGATTTAATATTTTTATTAGAAGTAATATAGTATATTTTGAGAAATGCTGTTGTTACACATATAATTCGGATTAATTGAACAGAACGCAATTTTTCGTTAATGCGATTTAAAAATAGACAAATATAAAGTTAATTTTAAACGTTGGTCAAATCACGAGATAGGTTCGTATTCCTTTAATTAAATCAGCTCAAACAAGCCATCAGGGTTACTGCTGAAGAAAAATTATTAAAGTGACAACACAAATGGGTATAAGTTGCAATAATTTTATTCAAATAAATAAAATAATTAAAAATATACTGATATTGAACTTGTCCAATAGTCAAATAGTATTGAAAAATTTGTCAAATGAATATCGATTTCATATTGTCAATTTGGAGTGGTTTTATACACACACACATATATATATATATATATATATATCAAGTTATTTTACTGGTATTCATCCTAAAAGTAAACGAATTATAATTGAATTTGACTTAAAAAATAAAAAAACTATTCATTATGAAATTTTCGTAATTGATTTGACGATGCGCCGGACTGTGTTTGATGAAAATTTTGTTCCAAATCTAGAGAGTTGGGTGTTTCGTTTTTGACTTGTTATCAATGTCCATAGCTCATAAAAGCGATTTGCAAAACAAATAAATGTTGCTTTTATTATTTTTATTATTTCAAATGACAGACTTTATGATATTTATCATTAGCCATATATATATATATATATGGGTTGCGCTATAGGCTTACCTCCTCGTGGTGCACCCTGGACAACGTATTTTCTTACGGCAAAAAAGTCTACCACTTGGCATTTGATTTTGACTTCGATTTAATAAGATTAGCTTTCAAAAAGGCTATAAGAAATATCAATTATGATTAGATTGAAAAAAGGCTATAAGAGAAATCGCCCTTATTAGCTTTGAAAAAGGCTATAAGAAAAATCGCCCTCGCAGAGCTTTAAAAAAGGCTATAAGAGAAATTGCTCTCGTCAGGGAAGCTTTAAAAAAGGCTATAAGAGAAATTGCTCTCGTTAAGGCGCAAAAAGGCTATAAGAAAAATCGCCCTCGTCAGGGCGATTCCAACGTCTTCAGATCCTCCAGTGGAATGCTGAAGGAATGTCAGTCTTCAGATCCTCCAGTGGAATGCTGGAGTAATGTCTCCGAACTAAAAGATCCAAGAACAGAAAATCCCACAAACCTATGATGTAGACATTTCACAATTATGGAAGCTAACATTTCGGATGACAATTCCCAGGTTACACCCTGTACAATCTACCTAAATACCGGGGCAAACATTTCGGATGACAAACTGAAGTACTACCAATTCATATCATTTCGGATGACAAACTGAAGTATTACCAATTCCCAGGTTACCCCCTCTACAATCTACCTAAATACCGGCAAGTTGCAAGTGGAATTCAGACTGGAGTAATAAAGATAAGTTGCAAGTGGAATTCTAACTGGAGTAAAAGATGGACTCACCTCACACTACGACCTAATCAAGAGTATGGGCTCGACGCAAGACAAATGGACACCTCACACTACGATCTAATCAAGAGTATGGGCTAGACATCACACTACGATCTAATCAAGAGTATGGGCTCGACACAAGAGACAAGTGGAATTCTAACTGGAGTTAAAGAAGGCCTCACCTCCCACTAAGCAATTCTAACTAATTCTAACGGTAAAAGAAGGCCTCACCTCACACTACGATAGACTGGAGTAATAAAGATCGGCAAGTTGCAAGTGGAATTCTAACTGGAGTAAAAGATGGCAAGTTGCAAGTGGAATTCTAACTGGAGTAAAAGAAGATCTCACCTCACACTACGACCTAATCAAGAGTATGGGCTCGACGCAAGACAAATGGACACCTCACACTACGATCTAATCAAGAGTATGGGCTAGACATCCTCACACTACGACCTATTCAGAATATGGGGCTCGACGCAAGACATATGCGAAATAATCAGATTAAATATTTGGGAATGTCGACACAAGACAAACGTGAAATAATCAGATTAAATGTTTGGAAATAAAAACCACTTCAAGATATATGCAGTCTATAATCCACCCCATTTGTCCAAACTTTGACTTTCTGAACATCTCACACAAAACTGCTGTATTAGTAGACTCAACGCCCACGGGCTACAAGGATACAAACATAGCTGGAAAGGAAATTGAAACATGCTAAACCAATAAATGCTAAACAGCAATCCTCTGGAACTTATTTACAGCAATGGACAAGGCTACAAACATAGCCACATAGCTGGAAAGGAAATTGAAGACATGCTAAACAGCAAACCATAGCTGGAAAGGAAATTGAAGACATGCTAAACAGCAACCATCTGGAAAGGAAATTAAAGACATGCTAAACAGCAACCCTCTTTGGAAAGGAAATTGAAGACATGCTAAACAGCAACCCTCTCCGTTCCACGAGATGGGGCTATAAGAATACAAACATAGCTGGAGGGGCTACAAGGATACAAACATAGCTGAAAAGGAAATTGAAATACAAAGCTACAAACATAGCTGGAAAGGAAATTGAAGACATGCCGGATCCCGCTCATATTTGCACTACAATGGAACCAGAACAACTCCTGATTTACCACCTCTTGAACTTATTTATAGCAATGAGGATCCGGCTACATAATTGCATGCAATGGATCCAGAACAACTCCTGATTTACTCTTGGCTCTGGTTCTGGTCACAAACCAGTCATTGCTAGTATTACCTTTGGTCTTCTAGTCACAAACCAGTCATTGCTAGTATTACCATCGGCGGCATAAAGCTGTAACCGGTCATTGCTAGTATTACCATCGGCAGCAAAAGCATGAACCAGTCATTGCTAGTATTACCATCGGCAGCAAAAGCATCACAACGAAGTGCCAACTAAGCTATCATGGAACTTCAAGAAGGCTGACCTGCCAACTAAGCTATCATGGAACTTCAAGAAGGCTTACTGGCCTAGATTCACAAACCTTTTAGAGGATGAACTTCAGGCCTAGATTCACAAACCTTTTGGAGAATGAACTTCACACAGGTCCCCTCAACATCAACCAACATCCTGACAAACTTTGCACAGCTCTCACGAATAGTATGATCTGATGTGCAAAGAAAACTATTCCCAAAGGCAAGACTAAAGACTATCGAGTGTTTTGGTCTAAACACCTTGAGGAACTGAAAAGAAAGAGGGACGCCCTTCGCAACACTGCTGATCAGACTGGAAGAACGGAAGACGTAAAAGCCTGGAGACGACAATCAGCTGTCCTAAGGCAAGCCATCTTACAAGAAAAACGCACTTCCTTCAACAAGTTCCTCTCAAAAATCAACTATCAAAGTGATAGGCAACGCACTTTCAAATTTCTGAGAAATGTGCAAAACAACAGAGAAAGACCCAGGAAAGAACCAATACGTTTAATACAACAGGGAAAGACCCAAGAAAGAACCAATACGTTTGAAACAGCAAATTGCTTACCGCCGACACCGAAATAGCTAACTACATTAGGTTCTATTCCCACAAGCAAAAGAAAAACCCTTTTGTCAGTGTCCCACAAGCAAAAGAAAAACCCTTTTGTCAGAAAATCTTAAGGTGATTTAAATATACAAGTAAGACAGTTTGGTGAAATTAATAAAGAAACAGCACCAAATAATAAACTTACTGAACCATTCTGACCTTGCGAACTTAACGCTGAGATAAAACAGCTAAAGTGCAAGAAGTCTCCTGGCGAAGACGGTATTCATCCAGAATTTCTAATTAGAAGGGGACCAAAAGGGAAGGAAACCATGCTGACGCTTTACAACAAAATCTGGGAGATCAGTCTTGTACCTAACTAATGGAAAGTTGCCATAGTAATACCAGTACTAATAAAGAGCAAAGACGCTAGCAACTTTGACAACTATAAGCCTATCTCCCTCACAAGCGTGCTGGCTAAACTAATGGAAAGAATGGTTAACAGGAGGCTCACCTAGTTCCTTGAGACTAACAATATTATTAGGAGTGAAAAAGCAGGTTTTAGGCCACAAAGATCAACGAACCAACAAGGTTTTTGTCAATTTTAAATCAGCATATGACTTAGTATGGAAAGAGAAGCTAATTCCAAAATTGACAAATATTGGTATTTAGCATAACATGCTAAACTGGATAAAAGCATTCATTAGACAAAGATCGTGTAAAGTCAGATACGGAAATCCTCAATCAAAATCCAATCTTTTACAAACAGGCCGTCCACAGGGAGCTGTCACAAGCTGCACCCTTTTCAATGTTTTCATCAATGACATAGCCGAATCGGTACAGAGAGTCACGAGCATCAAGTTCTTACTTTATGCAGATGATCTTGTTCTATAGTATTCCGCCCCTAGGTAAAACGCTCAGGAGAGGACAGAAAGTGCTCTTAACAGTGCACTTAAACTACTAGTAAACTGGTGCGACAACAATGGAACGGTAATTAACACCGCAAAAACTACATTCCAAACATTATCTTTGGCCCATCACAGCATAAACCCGCTTCTAAAGTACAAGGATACTACGATAGAAAAAACCAATGAGATCACATATCTCGGAATGACGTTTGACGCAAAGCTAACATGGAAAAGTCACATTGCTAAAATAGCAGAACGAGTCTCCAATAGACTGAATGTCCTGAAGCGTCTTGCTGGTAGCGTATGGGGCTGTGCGCGCTCAACTCTCAACACCACTTACAAGATGTTTATTCAGCCAATAATGTTATATTGCTGTAAGCCACTCAATAAATCCACAGAGGTGACTCTCAAACCACTCGAGAAGGCACACAACCAAGCATTAGGACTAATTACTGGGGGGATAAAATCAACACCCATTGATGTAATGCTCCAAGTTACAGGAAGCACCATAATAGAATTGATGCAATGCGCCTGGTTACAGGAAGCACCACAATATGTTCTTGCCATGCTCCTAGTTACAGGAAGCACTACAATATGTTCCCAAGGCCTTGATCCTGTATGAGAAGCTACTGCGCATTCCCCTGGACAATGTATGAGAATCTACTGCGCATTCCCATGGATAAGTTCTTCCAGCACCTATGAGAATAGACCAAGACATCTGAAAACGCAAGCTGCACCTATGAGAATAGACCAAGACATCTGAAAACGCAATTTGGTTTAATACAGAAAGGATAGAACTGAAGAAAGAATTACAAATCGATGACAAACCAAAAAGTGAAGAAAGAATTAAAAATTGATGACAAACCAAAAAGCCTTAAAGCGTTACAAATCGATGATAAACCAAAAAGCCTCTCTCCCCATGAACCCATTTGCAGATATTGATGTAGTGTGTTTCACCCAACTGCTCGACTTCTTCAGGAAATCAAACACTCTTCTAGAGCAAATGTGCTCACTGGCTCTTGAGACAATCAATGTCAACTATCCTTCAGAACAATGGTTCAAAGTCTTCACTGACGGGTCATGCATAGAAAGCCAAGCAAACGTTGGTGCAGGTGTATCTTCTAAACTCTTTTCTTTCTACGCAGCAGTGGGACATAAAAGATCAGCTTTTAACGTTGAAATAGAGGCTATTAGGATAGCTTTATGTCAATTATGCTACCAGGATACGAAATTCACCAACGCGGTGATACTTTCGGATTCACAGTCAGCAATAGACTCTATTGGTGATACTTTTGGACTCATGTCAGCAATAAACTCTATTGGAAACAGAGAGACACCCAAAGAGCTGCAATAGACTCTATTGGAAACAGAGAGACACCCAAAACAGATGGTATATACGAATGTAAAAAACTTTATCAGCTGATGAGAAAGACAAAACAGTGGTCCTACAATGGATTCCCGGTCACTGTAGGATTAAAGGCAATGAGCTTGATAACACACTTGCTAAGAATGGGACAACGATTTTGCAAGACATAGACTGGCCTATGTCTTTCCGAACAATAAAGGCNTATGTTGCATCCAACTGCTTGACTACTTCAAGAAATCAAAAATCCAACCAGAACAAATGCGCTCACTGGCCCTTGAGACAATCAATGTCAACTATCCTGCAGATCAATGGCTCCAAGTCTTCGCTGATGGGTCATACATAGCAAACGTCAGTGCAGGTGTCTACTCCGAACTCTTCTCTTTCAACGCAGCAGTGGGACACAATAGAACCGCTTTCGAAGGAGAAATAGTGGCCATTAGGATAGCACCATGCCAATTATGTGCCTGGATACGAAATTCACCAAAGCGGTGATACTTTCGGACTCACAGTCAGCAATAGACTCTATTGGAAACAGAGAGACACCCAAAACAGCTGAGATAAAGGAATGTAGATATCTCTATGAGCTGCTGAGAGAGAAAAACAAAACAGTGGTCCTACAATGGATTCCCGGTCACTGTAGGATTAAAGGCAATGAGCTTGATAACACACTTGCTAAGAATGGGACAACGATTTTGCAAGACATAGACTGGCCTATGTCTTTCCGAACAATAAAGGCCTTAATCAGGAGAGAATTCATGACCTCAAGGTGCAACGAACTTAAAGCTCGAACAAAGGAGAAACAGTGGACAGTGGCACTCTCCGACATAGCCGACTGGCCAAGAATCGAAGCCGTTGCTGAGTTTAGACTACGTACCGGACACGATTGCCTGGCAAAACATCTTCACAGTTTGGGAGTACACACTCAACCCAAGTGCCCTCTATGTAACCTACATGAGGAAATGGAGAAGAACCACCTGATTCGGTGTCCAGCCCTAACGACAACGTCGGAAACCAGAGATACTGGGAAGCAAGAAGACAGCTAATGAACGGCTATTAATTAACTGCTTTATATGTATCCCCCACCCACCCATGGGGGAAACTGAAGTCAGAGTTTAAGGGCCAATGATAAATATCATAAAGACCGCCATTTGAAAAAAATTTTGGACTTTGTATGTAAGTAAGCATAATTACAAAAAACCCCACTTTTAGCTACATTGGCAAAAGGGCAGAACTTGGAATGCACACTTTACCAATAAATTTTATCAATTTTTAAATGCTCTCATTTCATGAGCTTTGTATTCATGTTGGCTAAAGCAATTATTGATTAGCAGTTGTTCCAAATATCCCCTAAAGTGCCACCTGTCCCCCCGATGCGCAATCGTTTTCCGCCCCCATCCCCCCCCCCACCCATTTGTTGCTACTTTTTTCATATACCCACAAATGGAAGTACTCCTTGTACCTGTCCTGGTTAGAACCAAGGTACCTTCATTCACTCTGATGAAAAAGTTGTATTCCCGGTGTTAAACAAGTCCCACCCTTGCTCACTAGTTTGCGTGACACGATGAGCAATAATTCCGTCACCTTTGATATGAATGCAAATCACCAATAGCAAGATTCAATGTCCTTATCTCGCCTATCGTGATCACATAATTTGCCTCTAGTTAATCCTGTAGAGATTCCACCAATAGAATATGCATGCCATTTGATATAAATAAGTATAAACACGCGGTGCTATTAGTTGCAGCTGAATAAGAGGCCACATCAAAACTCCACCCGTCGTTCCTGCTAACGCTCCCCTTTAAAATTAGTAGATGATTAAGCAGCACTTAACACCACACACACACATAAACCACACACCCGATTACAATAGTAAAGAATGAAGAATAATATTTACAAAGAAAACAATTTAGAGGTACAAAAAACAGGCCATATAAACACATCTATTACATCATCATCGGCAACCAAATAAGCACAGAAGCTGCCTTATAATAGTAGTTTGGTTGGTTGGTGGGGGCGGTGCGGGGGGGGGATAAGTATTGGTACAAAAGTGGATAGGGGGAGGGGTGGGGTACGGGTAGGAAAATTATTGAGGCCGGGGAAGGGGATAGCAGGGCACACTGTATGGTGTGGGAAATCACAAAAGAAACTGCCGATCCACTGTCCATAACCGCACACTCCTCCACCCGTCTCAACATCTCGGCGTGAGGAAATAAAAACACAATAACCTCGAGTTTATAAGTGTGTACAAGGAGAGCTGTACAAAGTAGATGTGTGGCATTGAGTGAAGAAATATGTACATGATGAGAGTTAGAGAGAGCAGCCCTTGTAGTAAGGCACAACCACTCCGCAATTTTTTATAGTCAAATCTACGGAGACACCTGAGAGTATGCTGCCAGTTGAGCAAAAAACGACGGTACGAGAGATTGAACGTTCAATGCCAGTAGGTTCGACATAGAGCTCGAGACCGACACAGACGCCTATCCTTGTTCAAAACAACCTGGAGTTCACGCAAACCAGCTCGCCTTGCACGTAACGAAGCGGCGAGATTAAAACGTGGTGTAGATGAAATCTGATTACTTGAAGAAGAAGGTTGAACCAAACGCAGAGAAGATGTAGAATTGATAAGGGAGAAACCAGTGGAACCTGTGGCTGTAGCAGCGTTGGTAGCTGAGTTGAGATTGTTGCTGAGATTACCACCAGTGGTGATTATGGTTTGTTCACTGCTTGGCAGGTTCATCGAGAGACGGGGTCGCTTGTTAGTCAAAGTGCCAATAGCTGAAAGAGCTGTAAAATTGGCCTGCTCTTGACGTTCACGCTCGTCCTTCTCGTTTTTTAGCTGCGTCGCCATCTCCCGTATTTTGGCCTGTTCGGAATTCTCATTGCGTATTCGAGTCTAAAATTGGGAAGAATAGAGTTGGTTGGGCGAACAATCACACACATGTGTTACTTACAAACTTGAATTAAGTGTTTACGTAAATTTGACATAATGACGTGGAAATGAAAGGAACACAGAATCGAAAGCTCACGTTACAAAGTCGACTAGGACATGAACTAAGTGATGAGGAGAAAAAGTTCGAGTTGATGAAACAAGAAGAAAAAGGAGAAATTAATTCAACACTCAAACAGATATAAGGCATAGAATGAAAACGTAAGGCGATCGATGCTAAAAACTTTCATTCCGGTTTAACCATTTTAGTCAAACTAATCTAAAATATTAAAAGCAAAGTCCATGATTGCGAAACTAACCTAGCATGGCCATTACAAGTGAATAAGATCGATCCATGCAGCAACAGCACGCAAATCGTGGCATTAAATAAGCCTCAATTAGAATTGAGGCAATTTATTTGTAGCACTCATCATGAATAAACCAATGGCAACCTGGAACCACTAATATAATCCTCACTCCACTTCTCATCATGTTGTAATCATTAAAACGTGATCCGATGAATACTGAATTTCTGGCAGTAAATTGCGTTACACGAGTAGTAGCATTTCAGAACGTCAAATGCATGGAACTTTCGAAGCAAAGCACAACAAATATTCCTATCAGAACGAGTGTGCCATTGGGACTGCTGATATTAAAAAGATAAAATAGAAGCCTAAACTGTTACACAAATAATTAACCAAACGCAAATAGTAGTGCCCATAATGCCAGATTTCCTAGTTTACTAACATCTTTATTAATTTTAATTGAAAAAAAAAACAAAACTTGCCTTCGCAGCCTTGAGAATAAATTCCCTTTGAAGCTCACACCGTTTCTCCTGATCGAACTCATGCATCCTCTGTACAAAGCCAATTTGCTCCCTCGTATGATCTACTTGCTCCAAATGAGGATCATCGGCTAATTTGGTGGCCTTGTGGCCAGCTACGAGAGAGATACGAGTGAGTAAGGTCCTGAGAAGAGTGTTCAAGCCATGCGCCATACAATTCAAGGAATCCTCCGTGAGGGAAGCCACCTCGTTAGGTGGCAACTTGGAAGTAAGAAAGAGTCGAATCTGAGAGACAGGGAAGAAAGGTTGATTTAGTTGACTGCAAGCAGTCGGTTGAGGTGAGGACATTGGATTGCAAGAAGGGGAAAAAGTAGAAGAAGAGAAGGAAGACACGTTAGCTGAGGAAGACAGGGTAGTATGAGTAGGCACGAAGGGGGAAGTGGGAGGAAGGAGAGTAGAGTTCGTCGCGGGTAGTGCTGATGAAGAGGTGGTTGGAGGAGTTGAAGAAGGAAGAGGGGAGGGGAAAATCAAACGCAATTGAGTAAGGGGTATTGGAGCAATGGGGAGAGCAGTGGAGTGATTGGTAGGAGGCTTAAGACGGAGTTGTGGACGGTTGGTGTTATTTATTATAGGCGCTGGTTGGAGAGGTCGGAGCGGTCGGAGACGTCGGAGTGGTCGGTTAGGAATAGGAGAATTGGTGACTGCAGCACGTGGAGAGAAAAGAGAAGTATGTAAACGTGGAGCGATTGGCCGTAAGGGAGCAGAACGGATGGGCTTAGAGGAAGTGGTGAGTTGAAAAGTGGAATTGGGGGGAAGATTATGCACAACAGGAGGTGGAGGTCGAGGAAGAATGTGAGAAGCAGAGGAGTGAGACGGAGTATGAATTGTTGCAGGTTGAGCAGCTTGCGATACTGTACTGCCGGTGGTGGTGGTGGTGGTTATAGCTGAGGCTCCCACAAGCACATTAGGATTGGGAGGTCTGATGTTAGCAATCACTGCAGTTCCATTAATCAAGTCCATTCGAAGTTGATGGAGACCAGTGTAGAATAAATTGTCCACATCTTGTCTCCTTGAAGCTTTCAAGTGGAAATACAATTGGACAAGGAAGACATCACAAGAAACCTTATCGTCCTGAGAAGGGAGAAAGTATGCGTCAAGATCATTGAGGGAGGAAGAAATAAAGATAAGCAATGACCATAGTCGACTCACAATAAGGTCTTGGACCAATTGTGCGACTTGTGCACGTTCACCAGTGGCTGCCTTCCAACTGGTCAAAATGTGATTGAGAAATTTGGCCACAGAAACACCCTTTCCACTTACTTGTGCCGCAGGAGGCTCTACAAATTTAATGGGGCAAATATGAGATAACATGGCAGGAAATAGATTCTTACCTGCTGGAGCTTGAGTTTCAACAACANGATAAAGGAATGTAGATATCTCTATGAGCTGCTGAGAGAGAAAAACAAAACAGTGTTCATACAATGGATTCCTGGTCTTTGTGGCAATTTAGGCAATACGATAGCTGACACACTAGCTAAGAAGGGGACAACGATTTTGCAATGCATGGACCATCCGATGTCTTTCCACACAATGATGGCCTTGATCAGGAGAGAATTCCCGACCTCAAGGTGCAACGAAATTAAAGCTCGAACAAAGGAGAAACAGTGGACAGTGGGCCTCTCCGACATACCCGACTGGCCAAGAATCGAAGCCGTTGCTGAGTTCAGTTTACGTACCGGGCACGATTGCATGGCAAAACACCTTCACAGATTGGGAGTATACACTCAACCCACATGCCCTCTATGTAACCTACAGGAGGAAATGGAGAAGACCCACCTGATTCGGTGTCCAGCCCCAAAGACAAGGACGGAAAGCCAAAAATACTGGGAAGCAAGAAGACAGCTATTGAATTGCTATTAATTAACTGCTATAAACGTTCCCCCCCCCCTCTTGGGGGAAGCTGAAGTCAAAGATTAAGGGCTAATGATAAATATCATAAAGTCTGCCATTTGAAATGAATATATATATATATATAGAGAGAGAGAGAGAATAGATAGATATAAATAGAAAAGGTAACTAAAAAATTAATCTGACGTTTACTACGTTCAATTTGAAAGTGACTGGAGACGAAAGCAAAAAAATTTGGCCCACCTATCGATTTCGACTGAACGTATTCCATGCAATAAAGCAGCACCTTTAAGCTATTGAGGCAGCTTATGTGAATCAGGAAAAGTTTGCAAAATCAGAAGCAGAGATGACCAATTAATGGTGAGATTCTGTGTTTTTGAAATCCTCTGCAGTACAATTTTCCTTACTTGGTGCCATATCAACCCCTCCCAATTAGGCCTGTTAATGTATGATTTGTATTAAGCTCAATACACCGAAAACTAAACTTGTTCTGAAAAATCGAACAGAAATTGTGCATAAGTTATAGTTGAGATGGTGGAAAATTTGATGTACAATAAAGAAAATATTATCTTTTGAAGAAAAATATTCTTAAATTATGCAGCAATTATTCACTTTATTGAACATTTCCAATTGTTTCATTTAAAACTGCCATTAGTGTTTAAGTCAATAAAAAAAGCAAAATTCTTATAGACAAAATACTCCAGCTATTTGCAGGAGTTTGAGATTGTGAAATTATACAGATTTAGCAAATTCTCATAAATTGGCCAATTCACAATCAATAAAACTGACATTTTCACAATTACTATAATCGATCATTTCGAAAACTTTTTTTTCAATTTTCCCAAAATAGATTCTTGTTATTATCTTATTTATTTTTCATGAAAACGGCCTCAGTTGTGGTTGACACTGTTGCAGGGAGTCGAAACCATGCGTACAATTGTTTGCCCTTTGAAATAAGTCGGATATTGTTTCGCTCACGAGCTTTAAGCATTTCGGCCAACTAAGTTTTGGGCTCAATAACATTGCATTCTATGGAGAGCTTTTCTGATTAAATATAAACTTTATTATCCTGAAAACTCTCTACGTTATGCTAAATTGTTTCCAAGCACCAACCTTTTCATGTCTTATATTGAACCAGAAATTGTTGTCAATATGTTTTGCGACAAATCAAAACAGGTGATTGTGTATATTCGTCCTTCAAAATTCGCTTTTTACTTCTAACTTCAATCTGCCAAACATTATGTTTTCAAGTAAGAAAATCAACTTCTGGTTCATCAAACCATAGAATTGTCTTTCCTGTGCCGATTCACTCAACTGAATAAAATATCAACAAATTTGACTAGTTTCTTAACTTTCTTTGAAATTTGAAAAAAAATCGCATGTTCACGAATAGCAAACGCATTTTAAAGATGTAAATATCAGTCTGATTGCGAAGCTACCGCTAAGGCAACGTAAGAGAGTAGGTTATTCCTCCAAAGATTTTTAGGAACTCATCGTTCAAACCCGAACCGCTGGTCAGAGAGCGCATGTGCTGTAGGAGTTCAGATGGCGTGCGATCTCCAAGTTAGATCTGGGACCAAAGTTTGTGAAAACGTGTATCTTGCGATACAGCATAACGACTGATGATTGCTCGCTTGAGACGCTCGAAGGAGTTGTTGACTGGTTGCTGAGCGGCAATATCATTGAATTGGTTTATGATTGGGGCCGGTAGTGCTACGAGAGCGTGGGAAAGCCAGGTTGTGCGCTTGGTTTTTCCTTTCATTCGAAGCATATTCTCAAACTGTAGAAACCAAGTACCTGGGTAATTCGTGTCAAAAATGGGATACCCCGCGGGCGAACTAAAAATTTTATCGACGCCTTCGGTGTCCTTTGACATTGTGAAGTA